AAATGACAGATGCTGTTTTTTGCCTCATGGATCTTTCTTGGCCAAGCTGATTTTGAGACTTTCCTTTTTGCTCTGCCCCTCTCTCTCTTTGTGACTCTGCTCTCCTGCTTTTTCTCCTCTCCTCACATTTTCTTTTCATCCACCATGACCTTACAAAGCCTGCCATTTTGTTTTTTTTTATTGAATTTCAAACACAATTACTGTGTAATTGCTGGCGACAAGGACAGCGTGGTCGTTGATGTCTCACTTTCCTTTTTAACTGACACTCAGCCATCTGCTTTGTTTAGCGTCGGTTGTTTACCCCGCCCATCCCCTCTTCCTCCTCCACAACATGATTTCCTGCGTGTACTGGCGAGGGGGGGGGGGGATCGGTCTCCATAGATACTGACAACAACATACTGGTGTTTGGGTTGTTGGCTTTTTTTTTTTTTTTTTATGTGGAGGGCATGTAAAGACAGAGGGAAGAGGTGCGCTGAGTGAATTCCTGGACGAGCACTGACCTTTCTGCCTGTATTTCGATCACATAAGGCTGCCCTTGTCCCTGAAGGGAATGAGGTATTCTGGGAGCAGCTACCTGGACAGCGATGTCTGGCTATACTCGCTGTCTCTCTCCTCCGTACCATCAGCCACTGCTGCCACGGCACCAACCCCAGCACCGACTGCCCGCCTGTGGCTACTACTGCCCATCCGTCCAGGTGGATGGATGGCTTTGATTGGTAAAATCTGTGGCCCTGTCGCCGGCCGTACTTGTGAGTGGCAGTAATTGGCATGGCAGTAGGCAGGCCCATCTTTCACATGTGGTCAGCTATGATTGACCTGATTAGGCCAGGGTTGCTCCCTCAAGTGAGGGTTTGATATGCCCCAGGGCGCCGAGGAGCTGGCTAGACCCTCTTGCCCCTCAGCCAGCGACCCGAAGACGATAGATGTGGTTGAGGTAAGCTGGCAGGAACAGTGGTCTGGCTAGCCTCACTCATCATCCAGCGTCCAGGGGTCAGGGAGTGTACTGAGGGGAAATCTGAGACAAGGCATCGTCATACAGTGTACACAAACACAAGCATATGAAGGGGCGGGAGCTGGAGGGACTTTGGTTTAGTTCTTGTAAATTCATACCCATCATATGTTTGCAATTAAGGCCCTGTCTGTACTGTGTATTTACAGAGTGGTGCAATCAATGTAATTGTGAGAGGGTGTTCCTGACTGAAACGTCTGTCTTATTTCTCTCTGCCTGGGTTCAAGTGGGCACTTGCTGGATTTGTTTCCCAGTGTTTCTCATTTTCAAATGTAAATGCATCTCTTGATTTGTATCAGCCTCTGTATACACTCCCTCTTTTTTTTTTTTTATCGTTCTCATTTTTCCTGGATCAAATACAAACAACAAGGGCTCCATTTCAGAGTGGGACGTCAGCTCAGATCTATGTCAGCAGTGTTGTTTATTTAGAGGGAAAATCTGTTCATATTCCGGGCGATGTAAAGAGTCATAAAACACACTTAAATTAAAATGATGGTTTCCCTGGCTGTTGGGAACATGTCGCCAGTGTTTTTCTCAGCCTCGTGTTTCTCTAGTTTTTTTTTTTTCTTCTTCACAGAGCTCGTCTGCACCTGAAGATCTGGACGTTATTAGTGCGTCTTTTTGATCTCATTCATGCTCTGCAAGAGGGATTATTTTTCTTAATTGGAGGTGTAGACTTGCTTAGAGGCCACAACATTCCTTACTATTGATACTGTCAATGTGTTTGCCATTCAGTAAAGATTACTTCATTTAGTGAATGGGAAACATAGTATCGCTTGCTTTTAAACCCTGTTTTGTTTCACCATGGAAACTATCCCTTCGACTGCGACACAGAGACAAAGATCTTTCTCTTCCCTAAAGAAGACGTGAGGACACGTTTCCAGAAAAAGACACATGTTAAAGAACAGCATCATTAAAACCCAAATATTTAATGTTTCTGATAAAGAGCACAATTATTTTACTTTTCTGTTCATATTAAAGCTTGTAGACAAAAATACATATAAACACAGCATCACGAATAAAGTGAACTTAGAGCACTTGGGTTTTTCAGCGAGGGCCTCAGGACAGTGGGGGTTGGAGTTTGAATTAGACACTGCGAGGTCACTTTAGCAGTATTGATGGCCACTGTTGATTTAATCAACCACATTTGCCAGCTGAAAGCTCAAAGCTGAAATATTCCCTTCTGTCTCTCGTTAGCAGTGAGATTCCTGCACAGCTCTGGAAAAGTATGGAAACTCAGTTTCGTCATATCCATGTCTGGAAGAACTTTGGAATTGGACAGAAACGAGAATATGAGTCCTCAGGCGTGCTGGCTGCTCTCTGAGGCTGCACTTAGCTGTTAGCTCAAAGCAGTGCTGGGCCTGAAATCAACAGGCTAACATGCACACAATGGAGCTACTAACATCCAGATGCGAAGAAGGTATAATGTTTACCATCCATGTACCATATATACCGAACATACCACCCATGTTTACCATCTTAGTTAAGTATTTTAACATGCTAACAGGAGGATTACTACCTTGCTAAAGCTTATTTTAGGCTGATGATGGGATTTAGTTTTTCATAAACCAAAGTATCGATGGTGATGCGACATTAAGAGTTACAGGCTCGCCATCGTAATTACATTTTATACTCTGGGGACCATGAATGTCTGTACCACATGTACAACCAATAGATAACTTAAATATAGATATTTAACTAAAAACCATAAATGTCAATCTGGTGGTTGCACAACAGGAGTCAAAGGATAACCAGCGTCATCTGGATCCATCCTGAGGCGCACAGAAATGTACTGCAGCCTATCAAGTAGCTGCTGAGATATTTCGGTCTGGACTGAAATGGTGAATCAACACCTTTCTAACATTTCAGAAGAATAAAGAGAGCATTTTGGACAATGGTATTAAAATGACAGCATCTATCCTTCTGTTGCCTTTTTAATAACTACATTTGAAGTGTGCCACCTTTTCAGTAACGTTTCTCTGATCATTCCCAGTTTTGTAAACCACTGTTCCACTGTTTGGAAAACCAAAGCAGAACTGACCACCTTTGCCTCGAGTTCTCATACGGTTCAGGTTGTGGGTTATTAAGTTCCAAAAAGCATGGAAAAGCAGCTGTGGTTCATCTGCCTTCTGTCCAAATGGAGGACTTTTGATGGATCTGAAAACAAACTAGGTTGAATTGTTGCTACATGTTAGAAGACAATACGGACTTCTGCGATGAATTTAGATGGATTTTTAGAATTATTGGTGATGGATTTGCCCCTTCTTTGGTCTTCAAGTCATTCCTTATAGCTTTAAGCTGTGTTTGGGCTCATTTTCCTGCTGCAGTGTCAATCCCACAAAGATGCAAACCAGAGGGTGGAGCATGTCTCTGAAGAATGAAAGTGAAGCAAGTGGAACTTCCCCTTTATCAGGGTGGAATCAATTCACTGCAAGTGTTCAACTTCAAAATAGACAAAATACCTCCAGACTTGATTATTCCCAGCACCATGTTTTGTTGTATTGTTGATTCTCTGCTGTATCTCTCACTCTATTGGTCTCCTTACATCCATCCTTCTGTCACTGCCAGAACCCCAAAAACTGGATTCAACAAGAAATAGGACTTTTTTTCCCCCCCGCCTCCTGCTATGTCTTGGTTCACCCCAAGCGTTTGGCCTTGTGTCCCCGTCGTCCAACAAGTCATTTAGAGACGCTACGTTTGCTGATTGGAATCTTGTGTTCTTAATTCAACAAATTCTGCATTTGTTTTGGTAACCTACTTTTCTATTTCTCCGCGAACAAGGATTAAGATGTTAATTTTCTGATGCTGTGGTAATATTTGATCTGCCAGATTGTACTCTGGATGCAGTTGATCCAGTTTCTATCATCCTGCCATGTGTTGCCGCCCTAGAAAAAACAAGTCTGGCCATTATTTGATGCTTAGAAAGCCCGTCTTTGATTAGTGCCCATTTGGAACTTGCAAACTTCGAGAACCACATCGTCAATGAAGACATAATAATTTGGCTTTATTCTTTCTATTATGAACAGGCCCACATAGCAGGTAGCTAGAAGGGGCCCCTTTAGGAAGGATTCCTACCGAGGCAAATCGTCCATTGGGTTTTTAAGGGGGAAAGCATTGTAGTCCCTCCAGTTGCCACATTGTGAGACATTGTTATGGAGTCCAGTTTACCAGCCCTCGGGGGCCCATAATTGCCTGCACGCCTGATTGTGAAAGTGTAGCAGAGAACAGCTTTTTTTTTTTTTGCCAGACCAGGAGAACTGGACATCCAAATGACTTCACATGTACACACATACAGAGATTCCTTGATGCATTTGACTTCTGGCATTTTCACCATGTTTTTACTACTTAGTAGAAATGTTCTTCTGGAAACTTGAGGCACAGCTTTAGTTGAAGTGTTCATTTTCAAAACAGACATTTTTGTAGATTTTCAGAAAACTTATTTTTTTGTTGTTTGCTTGAGATAGTGTCGATCAAACTGAAGTTGAGTGGATTTGACTCAGTAGAAATGACAGAAATAGAGATTACTTAAGTTTGATTGATGTTGTCTCAGGTAGATGATGGAAAAGTGGGTTTTCTGAAGGTTGGTGAAGATGGAGTTTTCTGTTTTTGCAAATGAACTCTTCATTTCTAACAGCTGAACAATGGCTGTATGTTGGTTGAAGTGGACAAACCTCTTATAAGTAGATCCAATCCAGTGTCACCAGCTTTAATGGAAGGATGCACCTTAATGAGTCGGACCTTCTCTGCAAAGTAGTTAACATCGCTGTTGCGGCAAAGTTACTGAAGTGTGATTGTTGACCCACGAATAATACACATTCTTAAATATTCATTCTACATTTTACATGTTCGAACTCCTTTCTAAAAGACTCTCACATTTTCTTAATGCGTTTAGGAAACCATGAGAGGTTTGATAATAGATGTTACAAGAGTCAACAAGTCTTCTTCGAGTCTCTCCATCTCACCCTTCGACCTTCCTTTTTTTTTTCTCCAGGTTTCCGGCAACACGGCGGGCTCCCCGGCCAGCTCCTCCGCCCCGTCCACCTCATCACGCCAGTACACGCGGCAACGCATCACTCGCGTCAACCTCAGGGACTTAATTTTCTACATGGAGCAGGAGAGAGAAACCGCCCACTCCCTCCTCCTTTACCGTGCCCTGCTCAAGTAGCCTCTGCTCCGCTCAGCGCCCACCTCAACCTCCTCCTCCTCTTTCCCAGCCACGTGCCTTCAGATCAGGTCTAATGTTTCAGCTCTGTGTCTCCATATGTACTGTAGTGATGTTTGATGTAGCTTTTAATAACAAGCGAGATAGAGAGAGAGAGAGAGAGAGAGAGAAAAAAAAACAAAACAAAAATAAAACTGTTGTTCCGTGTCTTCTCCATTTAGCTTCACGGTGTGTAGTTAGATCATTCAGTTTAAAGGCCATATCATATTCTTTTGTTGAAGTTGGATTTGTTCGAGGAACGATGTGTTTATGTCACAGCACTTGACCCAGAACTCGCTCCGTGTATCCTGGGTAGCTATTTATTGGCAGAAGCTTCAGTGAACCTCTCAAAAAAATCGGGATTACTTTGGCTAAGAGAATTATGTCCACACCTTGATACAGCCTACAATATTCTCCACGAGCTATTTGTTGAACACAGTTCAATGAATGTAGTCCAGCTGAACTTTAGCAATCTTTACAGATTTCTAGACCAACATGACAAGTTTGAAATATTCAGATTCCAAATAACAGCATCGTGTTCAAAATGTCCTTATTGTACGTGTAAATAGTTCTTTTTGAATTATTTTACAGCATGTATATTTTTATCACATGTAAGCTTTGTAAGAAAAGGAATAATCCATGTGTCGATATTATGAAACCTGATGTTTTGTACAACCATGTGCTTTGAAAGAGTCAAATTTAGACAGTTTATTCTGTAGAGTATTGTTATGAGGCAGACTCCTCCCAAACCTTCTGCAAAGGTCATTTAACAGAACCACGGTCCGCACTATGTGACACCAGTTTCCAATAGGTCACCCTTGTTAAGTGAGTCAGTATTTTTTATTTTCGTTTTTCGAAACCACACAATAATGTGAACAATGTTTTTTATAACTAGTCGTAACTCGTGTCCTCCAGTATGATGCCAGTTTTAGAAGGTAAGTTTTGGTGATGTTCTAGGTGGGTTGGTGTCTGGGGAGAATGAAAACAGACATTCCTTTATCTCTTACTCTCATTGTACCATCTGCACATTACTGAAGTTAGAAGGAAAAAAAAAATAAAACATTTCAAGTGTTCTCAAGGGGAGCCCTGGAGCAACAACACCACCACCATCACCACCCACACTTTGATAAGGACTGAATGACAAAGGTAATCCATGAAGCGTTTTAGTGCGCGGCACTTCTGCTTGTTTGTATTCTGATTCAAAATGAAACATCACAGCTGTAAAGTCATGTTTAACTGTGGAAGGAAGCGGTTCAATGATTCCAGCCTAAAACTGATCCCATTTTGTTTTGTCTCTCTTTGTATTGCCGACTGAAGAGAGCTTACGGGACAAAACACCTGCTTTTTCCATGTCGTCTTGCATTTTCGCCTTGTCATTTTTTATTTTTTTAAAACAATCCTTATTGTATTATGTAAAATTGTCCATTCTGGTTTATTTTTGTTTGTTTTTTTTCTATTTAACTAAATATCTTGGCCTCTATGCAGCTTTTCTTGTCATATTGAAATTTATTTAAATATGGGTGACATTTGAAACAATTGTTGTGCATTGTACATTTTGACAGCACTTTTTTTAATATCTATTTTATCTGACAACTAAAAGCTGTCACTGTATTATAGCAAAGAAATTACTCTTTTAAGTAGTAAATGGTATTGCCAATTTCTGTCAAAGGACAATTATTTTTAACAATTAATATATTTCTTTTTCGTTTTGTTTTTTTTTTCTTTTCTTTTTTTTGAGATTGGCTTTTATGCTTAACACATTTTCATAAATTTTATCTCCAAAAATACCATGTTTTAAAAACAAGCACAACAATACCTATTGTGGTTCAAATGATTTTATTAATGATTTCTATGGTTTCTGGTGGTTTCACAGGAGGACATTTCTACTACTACTACAACTACTACTACAGCAGCTTTTTAGCCAAAATATTAGGACGATATTCCTGATGTAAACAGACGGGGAAATAACATTTCAATGTAAGGATGATTTGTAAATATTGTTTACAAAACTATGTGTTTATTAGAACCACGTTATTTTTGGTAAAACTCTTGTACATATCTTGAAGATTTCCTGTTTGTGTGAAAAAACAATACTTATGTATTTGTACCTATTTTGTAAAGGAATAAATAAGCTGTTTACTAAACTAAACAGACGCTGACTTTGTCCACTTCTTCTTTTGTTTTACTCCAACACTCCTATTAGTCTGTGGATAGGACTGCATGCTGTTAAGAGTCTTAGCAAGGATAAGAAAATGTAAATTCTAGCCTAAAATGACTTATTAACTAAGCAACGTGTTCCCTCCTGTTCATCCTTTACTCTTTAAAGGGAAAACTATGTTATGTTTTTGCAAGACATTTTTCTTTTTTTTTAAACCAAAGTCAACCGCTAATTCAGCCTGCTTCATTTCCATTTCTAACATTGCACATGCTAAGAACAAACTGAGTCAAGCGCTGCTGCTCAACTATGAAAAGTCCCCCTAGGTTTCTGCTGCTAATTAAGCAGAAGCATTTTTGAAAAGACCAAACCGTTTAACTCAGTGCAAAATATTGGGGTTTGGGAGCATATTGGTTTTTTTCAGGATCTCGGCCTATGCCTTCAGTCCCTCTGGAGCTGTAGACTGCTGATCTGGATTCAGCCCTGAAGACGACCTCCCCCCCACTTTAAGAAAATGAACGCACACACACACACACACACACATAGAAGCTCGGGTAAAGTAGGCTGATGAGATTTATCAGGTTTCATCAGTTCAATTAGAGGACACAGAGTTCAACTTGCTGAATGCATGAACATATTTAGATGCTTCATGTGACCAATCTTCTTTTTTTTTTGAAGGGCTACGGACCGACATAAGAGCAACGAGACACACGTCAGATATACAGTACATCCTTTTATTATCGCAAATATGCAAGAAAAGTCAAATGGAGACACTGTAAATGAACACATGCCCTTTAATACCACAGTCTAATTGTTTTAAACACTTTAAATAATATACATTTGCACCTTATTATACCCTTTGAAATGTTTTAATCCATATGTACACAATGTAATGCTTTGAATTCTTTTTCATTCTTTTTGTGAAGAGGACTAAAAGGTCTCTTAAAAACATGAGGGTCCCATAAAACCCAGAGTCCTGATAAATCAATATACAATAACTGTACAACTGACCCGCCTCAGAAGTGGAGTGAATGCCATGTGGACTGGCTGAACACTGACCAGTACTTCATCAGAAAGGGTGACACGTGGGAACATGTCTGGGAAGTTTCCAGTCCTGTCGAGTTTGTCTAGCTCTGGAGTTAACCTGCCATTTATGTGTCCAATCAAAAGTGGCGTCTCATGTTATTGCAGTCAGAGAAACCCATACGTGTGGATTCTTACTTTACTTGCAAGTTGGAATGGTCATTTCTAATCTTTTTTTTCCACAAATGCATGACCCCATAGCTCTTAAAAATTGTCAGAAGCGCATTCTATGATGTCAAGATGCCACGTCGGTGAGAAAAATTCTCTCCTTCCTCCCTTAAAAAAAGTAATGCTTGTAGGTGTGGCTTTATGGCAACGCTGATCATTTTCCCCACGAAAGAACCCAGATGAGTTTCCACCTCCCTAATATCAAGAGGATCAAAGATCGAAGGGGATCAGCGGCGGAGTGAAGTCGCCTGGCCGCGCAGTGCAGTGCGTTCGGAGTATTTTGACTCATCAGTTTGTTTGGTTTGTTGTGGTGTGGTCCAGCGAGCTACGGCGTAGGAGGGCATTTTGAAAATGGGGCATGGGTGGGGGGGGGATGACACAGCAGCAGGGGGTGCAACCCGAGTTTCTACTGGCACCACTGAGCTGGGAGCCTTCAGGGAGGCGGAGGGGGGTGAGGAGCGCTGTGAAAAGCCCAACATGCCTCGGCACATGAAAGGCCTGGTTGACCATTCCCTTTGAGGCGACTGGATGCAAAGGCGCAGGCCACTGGCAGGTCAGAACAAAGACGGGCTTGATTGTGAGAAAGACCCCCGGGGAAGACTGCGCTGGACACCAAGCCCATCTCCATCCACTGGCTTTTCCTTGTGTAATCAGATGGAGCAGATACTCTATTAGGACAACATGGTCAGAACAGCTACCGCCCATTTTTAATGGACGGCTAAAAACCAGCCCAGTTTAACTCAAACAACTGCCAGCACCCACAAACATCAGAATGGGCTTCTCTGTTTTTTTTTTTTCCCCTCTCTCTCTCTCTCTCTCTCTCTCTCTCTCAGTCTTTTGGAATGGAAGAAACAGCATCTGTAAGTTACACACAAACATCAGAATGGGCTTCTCTGTTTTTTTTTTTTCCCCTCTCTCTCTCTCTCTCTCTCTCTCTCTCTCTCAGTCTTTTGGAATGGAAGAAACAGCATCTGTAAGTTACACACAAATATAAAGCATGAAAACTTGGCCTTTCTTGTTTCTGTCTTTGATCCAGAAATGTTGAGAATAAGACCAAAAGAATGAGAGCAGGATAGAGTAAATGCCGCCCACTCGCCTCTTTGTGAATAACATGCTGATGCTGGGAGTACAGTTCACTTTGGGTTCTGCCATACATACATGTAAAGAACCGCTGAAATAATCTTGGCTTAGAAGTGACAATATTGAAACTCGGTCTGAAGGTACTGTGAGCTAACTCTCAACGAAACTGTCAAAGACTGGAGGCCTCGAGGATCAAATGTTGGTACCCCTTCATACAGTTGTGAATAATGCATTGTGTCCTCTTTAGCTATAAACTGCAAAAAGAACCTCTTTATATTTGTACAATCAACAAAATAGGCACCTCGTCTACTTTGGTACCTAGAGTGTTTTGTTCTGCTGGAAGTTTTTTTTTCTTCTTTTTTTTCTCCTGTTTTGAATATTTTAACGTCACAGTCTGCTAAAACATGAGAAGATAAACAGCTCGACTTGGCACTGATCACTGAGTTCAAACAAGCGTGTTGAAGGGAAACAGGGCTCCGTAGGAAATGTTTAAGTGCAAAGAAACATTAAGCATTTAAAGTACATCTCTTGCTGATCACGAGACATACTGGTAAACGTCAGCTCTCCCCCGTTGGTCCTCAACTCCGTAACATTCTATCTCAAAACTGCAATACACTTAGAGCTTGTGCAATTTTGACCTGAATTTCAAATTTACAAACGTTCTCAAAGTTGTGCTAAAAACAAACGTTTTGTGCTCCTGCGAGAGAATCCGATCAGAGACCCGAGATATGTTTTAGAGCTCATAAGCAGAAATTCGAGAGCACTTTTTTGTGTGTGCTACACATTTAACTATAAACAATGTCGAAACACCCAGGTTTTCTTCCATTCCCGTTCGAACAATGGGACTTTTTCCGGCTCCGAATGCATTGCCAGTCAGATCGCTTTAGCCACATAGCCTGCAGACATCTGAGTTTCTGCAGCTACTGCCAAGAAACGCTCCCTCACAAGCTCTCAAAGCCTAATGAATTTCAATGTTCATACATCCTTCATATTGGAGAAAGGAAAAAAGAGACATTTAAAATAATCCTATTAATAATAATTGTTTACACCATGTCATGATAAGAACAGCAAAAGGAGCAAGAAGAACATACTTTAGAAACAACAATGAAAAATCGTAATAAACAATCAGTTTGGCAAATGATGCTGTGTTCGGCGAGGCCCCGACGTCTCTAATCGGGCCTGTGGGGGGGACGATCGTCGGGTCTCGGGGGGCCTTTTGGGGGACTCGCAAGATTGGATTAGGTCCTCTCCTTGTCATCTTTAAAAACATCTTATCTGCCAAATGCTTCCTTGTCCCACAGCGGGCCACACTTGTCAGCAGTCAGACGAGACGTGGGCCTCACAGACACACAACTGGATGATACACCGCTGAAAGAAGGGTAGAGGGGTGGGGTGTATGCTGGAGGGTGGGTCGGGGTTGAAGGAGGGGGGCAAGTCGTGTCCCTCCTAAAGTTTTTTTCATCAGAAGGTACGGGAAAAAATAAAAATAAAAAAAATCAACCAGTCACTGTGCTAACATGGTGAGCTGTGCGCTGCTGTTGTGTCCGTATGTCATCGTTGTTGTTTTTCATCACCGTCCCAGATTCTTTGGGTGCTATTTAACATAATCAAAAACTTTTGTTGCTGATGCTTTTTTTCCTTTGTTTGGTACTACATTCCCCTTCGAGTTCTGCAGAGCCGGCGAGGTTAACAAGCCTCTGCTAATACTTAGGTATGTTGGGGGGGGTGGTTGTGGTCCTGCGAGGGCAGGGAGGGGGGGAGGGGGGGGGGACGGGTGGGTGTGGGCAGGGTGGGGTGGTGTGAGAAGATGGAGGGAGTGTAGAGGAGGGTGGGGGGGGGAAGGTGTGTGTTGGCTGTCCCTCTCCCAGAACGCTCTAGTCCAGGGGTTCCTGTTTTATCCTGATGGGCGTGTTGATGGAGAGACTCCGCCGGTCCTCGCGACACAACACGTACTCGCTGAACTGAGACGAGTCCACGCCGCCTCCACATGACGCCGCCACGCTGAAGCCTTTCTGGAAGAGACGCTCCAGAACCTGAAGGGAGGACAGAAGAAGGAGAGAGGGCAATTAAAAACTAAAGAAATACTTTTCATTACAGATAGAGATGCAGGCTTCTGATTTTCTACTCGTTCAAGGAGAGGTTTTCAGGAATATGCTTATCCTTGCCAAAATAAAAGCGATGCCATTCGTACGTCTTTGTTAAAAATGCTGCTGCCGGTGTCAGAAAAATAGAATCAAGTGTATACCGTAATCTCTGGACTATAAGCCGCTACTTTTTTCACACGCTTTGAACACTGCGGCTTAAACAAAGATGCGGCTAATTTATGGATTTTTATGATTTTTACGAATTTGCCTCAAAGTGACATTAAGAGCGAAAGAGAGACTGAGGAAGTGTGTGACGAAGTAATTCTGAGACTGTTCAACTCCGACACTGAAGAAGACGACTTTAGTGGTTTTACTGCGCAGGATTAAGACATTATGACTTTTCCTGGTAAACAGCTGTAGTTTTTATTTTTTTAACCAGCTGTGCTACAGGCACAAAAAAGCATTCACGGGACGTATTTGTGTATGTTACCGATACGTATTTACTTAAAAGTGGCCTATAGACAAGTGCGGCCTACATATTCTTTTTAAAGTTAGTGGGTGTGGCTTATATTCAGGTGCACTCAATAGTCCAGAAATTACGGTAATCATTTAGGTCATTTAAATTTGTGTTTTTTATACATGCAGACATATATAACCACATGAGCTAAATGTAATCATTGTAAATAATCATAAGATATGTGAGGAAGGTCCATGTGCGAAATGCCCAAGACAGCTTTCATAAAACTGTTTTATTAGCTCCATCCAGCAGCTGCTAGCTTAGCTTAGCATCAAGACAGGAAAGAGGGAACAACAGCAGGTCTGGGTCTATCTAAAAATAACAAGTTTCACCTCCCATCACCTGTCAAGCTCCCACATGTCGTACCCTTTATGTAACCAGGAAAAGCCTAATCAAGATGAAGAATCTCTTTTACAGGAGCATCCTGCCCACGACAGGCAGCTGCATAATTTAAGAGCACTCAAAAGTAATTCAGGGGTCCCACCACTTAATTACATGCATAGCTGAAAGATACAAAAATGTAATTTGCTCAATAAGATAAACCTTTTAGGTGGTAAACATTATTTTGATGGGTTGGGTTGACTTCAAAATGTGGGTAATTGCATCAACCAAAAAATATGGGTAATTAAAACTCATATTTATGTGTTAGTTGATTTAAAACTGATTTCAAATTGAGATAACTTAAAATTAATATTTTTTTTTCACCTTGAGGTCAGAAATTCTCATCTCTGCCTACTAAACACTGGAGGAACTTATTTTATTAAATTTTCCAACTTAAAAACTTGTGATAATAATTATGGTAATTCCGTACATAAACAACTTGAAAAATATTTGTTAAAACCAAGAAAATACTCGTTAGAACAACCCAATCTGTGTGAGTAATCAACTTGTGTTTATGCTGCCAATCATTACACAAAAACACTTTTGGCTGTGGTTGTCTTTTTTGGTTAGGCGTCATTTTTGTAGAAGTTGTCACAACTAGCAAAGATTGCATTAACTTTTTGTGCTTAAGGCAAACCAATAACGTAATAACTGGCCAATATATTACATTTTAAAAAGCGCAAATTTATTACACTATTGGCTTCAACAAGGCAAAACATAATCTTTTTAGAGCAACATTACACATTGACATAAATATAAGTATCTAAATACGGTTTACATGAAGATTAAGCGTGTGTCACAATATCGTTAAATCACAATAACAAACGTTAAAAGCATCAAACTCAGCTGTAAGCTCATAGGAAGGAAGGACAATAACTTCTAATAACTTGTTTAACTGTATGTGAAATTTTATAATTCATCCTACATCCACCCAACCGGTCGAGGCAGATGGCCGTCCCTCCCTGAGCCTGGTTCTGTCGGAGGTTTTTTTTCCCCCGTGGAGGTTTTTGGTTCCTTCCCACTGTTGCAGACTGCTTTCGGACTGCTGAAGCTTATAGGAAATCCAAATGTTTGGGATTGTTGGGTGTTTCTGCCGTTGTTAAGCGCTATGAGATGACTTGTTGTTGTAAATATGCGCTATACAAATAAAATTGAATTGAATTGGTTATTCATTTACATGTTTGTCATCTGTTTATAATCAGTTACTTTTCTGTTATTTTCAGAGAAACAAAATGCTTGGATGAAAGATTAAAGCTGACGTGTTACACAAGTACGGTCAGAAAAGAGACCTCGCTGCCTCATGACGAACACGTCAGAAGAAGCTCCTTTGTCTAAGTATGGAATGTAGATTTAGTGTTTGTGATGTGGTCGAGAAGTCCACAACTCAGACATGTTGGACCATTCAGAATTCATTGTTATACGATGAATTGGTTGTCTGAGAGCAATGCTGGACAAATCCTGCTTTTCTCAGCGGAGTGACAGAGTACATTTCCGAGCAACCTGTCAGTATTTTGTGTTTTATGTTTTGGGGTCATGAGAGTGGCAGCAGTTCTCCACGTCGAAAGTCATCAATGTCAGGAATCATACAGGGGAAATGCAAATCAATCCTAACACGTACATCCATATGTGTCTGCCTTCAAGTCAAATAATGTTGCTTTAAATTCATTTAGTAAGATCAGGTCTTTAGGATTCAGGCTACCTCCCAGTTTGGTACACACTTTGGGAACAAATACTGAATCCTGGGAGCGGGGACGACATGTTTGGGTACTTTTTTAGTAAAAATAAGAAATACAAAGTCTGTAAATAAGAACATGGTAATGATTGAGTCTATTAGTGAATGAGGCTGATCATCCAACGCTTAGTAACAGATTTAAGCGCAGCTCTCCGTGCAGCATTACAAGGATGCCTGCATATATGTGACATCAATCCAGCGCTGGCCTCAAAGTGTTAAATCAGTGTTAGTAACAAGCCTCTTTTTGGCCTTAGAAGGTAGCCAAGTTTTGATTTGGAAATAAAAACCTTATTTTTAATGCCAACTTTCTCTGTAACCAACCGCTGGATGCGAAGTGTAAAAGAAACAGAGTCATCAAAGACAGTTCCTATTTATACAGGCTGGATTACAGAGTCCAGAGAAGCGGTGATGCATGGACTGTTTCAGAGCATCGTGATCAAAACCACCGAACAATTTATATGTTTCTTTAATCTACACAAAAACCAAAGTGTAAAAACGCAAAATCCCTGTTTTACAGTCCATTACATGGTGTTCTGGAGAATGTCTTGGTCAGGACCAGCTGCCAAATCATCACTCTTGGAACTTAGTGATGCAATAACTAGTTCAGCTCGTAACCCATTATAACACAGTGATCTCTTGATCTTACACTTTGGTTTTTGTACGACCTAAACCAACAAAATCCAATGTGTTAATTATTAACCATTGTATGTGCTGGCAGGTGGAGTTTGTGACCTTTTGGCTGCTGTTCTGACCCGTTTCCACTCCTTGTGCTAACCTGTCTTATCCAGTTGCCGGTGATGGATTCATATTGAGCTCATAGACATGAGAGCAAACAAGCACATTTTCCAAAGTGTTGAAGTTTTTCCTTAAATTTGAGTATATCTTTTTTTAAAAGATATTTTTTGGCTTTATTAGAAAGGACAGAGAGAAGGACAGGAAAGTGGGGGGAGAAGAAGGAGGAAGGACCTGCAGCAAAGGGTCATGAGCAGGACTCGAACCCATGACCGCTGGAAACTATAGCCCCTATACATGGGACGCCAGCTCAACCAGGTGAGCTACAGCGTATCTTTGTAATGTGATAAACAGAGTTTTTCTAGAATCAGACCACAACCAGACCTTTCTTCCATAAAAATAATGATGAACTGTGAGAAAGTTTAGCGGTACCTCATTACCAGAAACTTAAACTCCACGATGCACTTTCACTAAATGATCAGCTGCAGCCCATGTACGTAAATCACTGATAGGTATCACTTTGTGATATCCATCCATCCATCCACTCGCCGAACATCAACCTCAGATCTTCATCAGTCACAACACGCACCATGTGTCATTAACCCTCCTCCTCCTCCCAATCACACGTAGTGATGGGATAAAACCAGAGGGCACTCCGACATCACACCACCTCTGCAATATTCATGCCGCTTGTGCTGGATTGGCCACTGAACTGAGGGCATGAGCTCAAAGGGATGAGGAGAGCGGAGTGTGAGTGAGGTGTGTTAAGGGGCTGAGTGGAGCTCAGTGTGGTGATTACTGGAGCTCCTAATTTGAGTAATGAGGCTGGGGTGAGAGGAGAAGTGAGGTCCGTGAGCGAAAGAGAGAGCGACGTGTGGGGAATGAGGATGGCGAGTTATGGGGGGATCTGTGTGAGGACAAAGTGCTGGAGCTGCAGGGGGAGAACGGGAGACGGGGATGCATGTTAGCCCTCCAGTCGGGGCACTGATACATACACAAGTCCAAATAGAGATACGCTCAGGCACAAACACGTGAACTCCAACAACACTTTTCTCTCCTCATCTGCTGTAATCCACGTGGGATGTTGTTTTTTTTGGAGGGGGTATATATCTAAATCCCAGTGAGAGGAGTGCTGCGTATTTACTTATTCCCCTTTCCTTTTAATGGAGTGTGCAGTGCATGGAAATGAAAGGTCTCGCTAAGGGCTAACCCTTTCTGCAGATACTGAGCCAGAGAAGTTCAGGCAAATAGAATGGTTTCTTCAGACGCCTATACACACACACACACACACACACACACACTGACATATACACTCATGTTGAAGGATGATCTCTCTAATTACAGGAGCTAGAACCCCATCGGACGGCTAAAGTGGGGTGTTTAGGCTTCCAAGTTGAAGGGCTGCAGCCTCCCCTGACTGGGGATTAGCACAACACAGAAGAGCAGATAAATCACACACACACACACACACACACACACACACACACGGTCATGAAACATGTGCAACATTACAAACTTTCATATGCAAAATGCAAGAAATGCACGCAAACTTGTTGAGCAGACCTGACACCCCCTCACACCCGTTCC